CCCAAACCCTCATGAGTGGCCGGCCATAAAGTTGAGTAATACAATTATAGTTAATTTAATGTAAAAAAAAGGTATTAAAAAGTTAAATAGAATGATAATTAAAGTTAAATATTAAAGTATTTAGTAGAATCCTTAAATGTAATAAAATCTATCATTTATGTTGAAATATGTTTTAATCATAAACTAAATTTAATTTGTACTAGGAGTGTAATTGAAAACATAGAGGATTTGATTATAGCCTAAATACAAAATGGAATAACCTTATCGTCAAATTACGGAGTACTTAAGAAGCAACATACAAAAATTAAAACAATTAAACATAAAAGTAGATAGGTATTATTTAAATACATTCAAAAATAGAGGACATGGACAACACCGAACACTGTATCAACTGTTTTTAGTATAATTTTAATTTAATAAAGGTGAACGGCAACACCATATAATTGATTTAATAATATTAATACCTTGGACTTAGAGTCTAAAATACAATTCTAAATTTTAAATTGAAATCCAAAAAATTAAGCTACCTTATTTTGCACAATTTCTCGACTCTATACCTTTCCAAGCAAATTCACAACAATCTTCCTGCACCTTTTATGTGATTTCAGCATCCTCTTCTTTCACGATGAAATACATCCACGTCATCATTTTTTGGTCGACTTCTTACCTTCCTATTCCAAGCCATACTTTGAAACAAGGAAAAGAAAATCAACATTATGGATTAACTTATACGGTAATCCCCTTGAGAGGATCAATCTATCAATTTATGTCTATTTGAATAATTTTCCTTAATATTTGCTTATTTGACTTTTGATGGAATTTTAAATTTGAATTTTCGGGTTTTTGGTTATTTCGATAATTGAGTTATATTTTTTAAAATAATATCATGTCCAAAAGATACAGTGTGAGGTAAAGGGAAAACCACTGATCTAGGGATCGTAAAGATAAGACATCACCCGAAGTACTTAAGCTAAATGAATCCCGGAATGCAGAGAGTTACTTGAACAGAAAAGCTTATAGGAAGACATTATAACCACCTTGTAAGAATGGATGATTTAGGACTTTTACACCATGTATGGTTAACTAGGGCAGCATTGGAAATTTTAGACTTCATCTATGAACAAGGTATGGGGTAGGTAACAGATATTAAAAATAGACGGAAGGAATATATATAAAGGGAAGAAAAATGAGAAAAATAATTATGGTTTAGGAAAAGGAGGAGGAAGTCGGAAGAAGATATGAGTGAGTAATCAATAAATCAATCTGTTATTTCTGTATAGGATTAGATTGAATGCTTATCATTATGTTTATCATAGATTAGCCTACCTTATATTCTTTGATATATCCTTGGCCACTTTATAAGGATGGATACCTTTTTTTGCCATTCTAAAATTCATATGTATTCTTAAAATGCCAGCTAATTTATTTATTTATTCTATTAAAACAATTTAATATCATATATTTAATAAAGAATAAAATTATAAAGATTAAAGAGATTTTAAATACATTGGTAGGATCATTCATTACAATGGTCTGACTTCCATTAATTTAAGTGATATTCAAGGATTATTTATTATTTTTCTGTCAATATAATCCAATCTCACATAAAAATTTTATTTAAAAAGTATTTTTCTCTTCACAGTTAATTTTTTTCCAATTCAATGAGCTTTTCCTTCATCTAGATATTCATATTTTTTAAAGGATTCTCTACATTTAATTTATTTACTTACTCATTATTCTAAAATTTACTTTATTTTGTTTTTGGATCCTTTGAAATTAGTTATTTCTAAGATTAAATAAATGTTTAAAATTAAGTAAGCACTTAGATTTAGAACAATTTATTATAAAAAGGAATATCCTTTATTTTGCTTCTTTCTTTTGAAAAGAAGAAAAAGATAATTTTCAATCCTGCTTGATTATAATCAAATTCCGAAGAATTATCGACATCAGCAAATAATTATATAATTCTTTTTATTCAAAGAAATTTTCGTTCATATTAAGTTCTTCTTTCATAATCGTTAAGTTCTGTCAAAAATTATGTACATTAGAATGATTGTCAAGAAATTGAGGATGAAAATCCAGCAGCAATTTAGAAAATAGTTTTTCGAGATATTCCAATAACTAATTAGATTTTTTTTTTATTTTTTATGACTTTAATACTTAATTGTCCATGTTTTGCATACCTGCATGCATAGACAATTTTTTTATTGGATTAAAACAAACTATGATGTCTTCCAAGGCTGATTTCCTTGATTATTTATTATAGATTTAAGATTGAATGAACAATACCTTATTTATTCTAAAATTGAATTTGTCTTTCTTTTGTACTAAATTATCTTAGAAATCTCCTTAGCAAGTTTCTCCATACATTCCATAAGCCCAGGACCATAATTCTACGTCCTTGTCTACTGCCATTATGTGATAACCACAGTAACTGAATTAACAATATTATCTTTAACTGCTTAGAGAGTTTCTACATCTTACAAATTTTCATGACCTATGGTTAGAGATGACATTGTTCTTTCAGTTATAATCCCTCTTTTAAATGATGCAATTCAAATGAGAAATGATCCTTCTTCTCTAAACCAAGGTCCAAATGACTAATCAGAAATTAATGCTTTCTGTTTCTGAATTAACATCTCCAACTTGCACCTGCGTAATGATTATATAAGTATTTACTTCTTATAGTGTTTCCAATACTTCCATAACCTAAGTACTTCCTGCATAACACTATGATTTATGTTATAAATAGTGTATTTTACAATTAATTAGTGCTTGCTATCTGAATGTATAAGTGATATCAATTTGAATAAGTTTCTGTTAAAAAATAAACTCTAACGTTGAAATAACTGAGGATTATATTTTAGTTCCCTCTTATTACATGTAATCCAAGACTCTACTTGAATCGCGTGCACTATCCATCTAATTATTGCGATGCTATTAGTGAGATAGTTAATACTTTCTTTGTGGGTTTAGTATTCCCCTAGTCACGCTCAGCATTAATTAAAATCAGGAGATCTCAATATCAAGCACACTAATTATAGCTTGGAGAAAGTCTCGATAGTGATTAAAGTTTTTCTTTTTTTTTTAATTTGTGGGCAATGCTTATACTTAAATCAAACATTGAATTTATGTTACTTATCGTATAAGTTGTTAATATCGCCTATGCCTATCTGATATTGATTCTGTTTTTTAGAGGATATGTTTTTTGAAATTTGCTCTACTAAAAGATAATCCAGTTAGATATAATTCTTAAGTAGCACATATATTCTGTTGATAACTTTCTCCTTATCCATGATATAATCAAAAATCCAGTTGCCTTTACTAATGTTGAATTGCTTGTGGTGTAGCGGCTAACACTTGTACAGAGTGCAATGAATAATTAAGAGTTTTACTTTGAACCAAAAAGCAATCTTCTTACATATGCTCGTGCCTTGATTCTTTGAAATTCAGACCATTGATCTTAAAGAAAGGAAAAATTGCAATTTTGCGCCTTCAGACCATCTCATACCTTGTTATTCCTGTAAGGAATATATCTTACTACTGTTAATTGCTGTGTTTGGAACTTTACTGAACATATGATCGTATTGGAATTGGAGGTACTTTTTTATCATCCCTTGTTATGTTAAACAATTGAATAGTTTTTCTCTCCAGTACCTTAGTTCATCTCTCTAATATTATGGCAATACTTCTTCATCTAATTTTTTAATGAAGCAAAAACCTCATAAAAAACATTTTTCGAAGAAAAAATTTGTAACAGTTGTGCTTTTTTCACTTTTCTATTTCTTAAAAAAATTGAAATTAACCTTAATTTCTCTTCTACTTGATTTTTATACCCCTAAAATTAAAAATCCTTTCAGATTTTGTGATTGGAAACATAGAAAACAGAGTAAAGAATAGGCGTATTTTTAAATAATCATAGTGACAATTTTTATAAACTTCTACATAGACTGGTTCTAAGAAGGAATAAAAATACAAAACAAATTATTTAGCAACCACCCCAGCACAAAGAAATACAATTTCTTAGAAATTCATGGATAAATTGTTGGGGTTGGTCAAGGCTGACATATGACTGGCCATAAGACGTCAGTAATATTTTCTGCATAAGGACATGTAGATAGTACATCCCCAAATACCTTTGTTATTATTGATAATTAGGAAAATTTGTGGATGCCTAATTGTTTTGCTTGACTTGCTGTGCCTGTTGCTAGGTTGGCCTAATCTTATAGCCAGTTGTATTTCGGCCGTTTTGTCTAGGTGATCATTCGTATTCCGGCTGTAGGGGCTTAGGAAAACATTCGTATTCCGGTCGTCGGTGATGAGGAAAATCACTCTTATTTTGGCCATCGACACAGGGTCTCTTTTATACTCTCTTCCTCCTCCTCCCCAAATAAAAAAGATCTAAAGTAGCGCTTTGAATATCTTCACAACTTATGTAGGATCTAAAGCAGACAAACCAGCAAAAATAGAAACACTAACGAAACTATTGTATAATTTTTATGTAGAGCACCACCTCAAGTATAAATTTATCCATCATCGAATAAGCAGAACTTATGATAATCTCTCGTTGCCCCTTAGGTCAGAAATCAAATTTCATAGACTAAACTAGATAGAATTTCAGATTAGATCGTTGATTTGCATCTTCAAACCAAGTTACCTAAATATTATTTTTTTTTAATTTAAATTCAGACCATACTGCTGAACCACAAATAAAGAGTTGACCATCAAATTTCATAATTCCTGAATGAATCTAACCTGAATTTATTAATTAAGCTGCTTAATTCTTCAATTCTTCTATTATTTTTAGAGTATTGCATTTCTTTTGATTGCCCTCCTCACAAAATTCATATCCAATTTACTATTGACAATTCTCTACCTTTGTTAAGTCCCCATGCAAAAAGATAACTGATATATGAATCCCCTCCAGCAAATGATGAGAATGGATATATTATATTTGAATTTATTTTATTAAAATGGATAGATGGTTGGAAGTTGAACTGCTAATATTTTAAAAGGGATTAAAATATTGACTTTTATGGAAAAATTGAAAATCAAGCCCTCAATAAGATTAATTACATTTTTCAATTTTATTTTCAGAAGTACCTTTAAAGATTGAGAAAAACTATCAAACTTGAAATAGTACAGGCTTCCTGAACTCATCCACCCACTATAAGATTTCTAAATTATTGAGTAAACAAACTATTGCAAGTAAGAGTCAGGAGCAATAAGCAATATATTGAAAAGAGCTAGCTGAACTAAAGATCTAATTGTAAAAATAGTTTTGAATTATTTATTCTTTAGTTTCTCGATTTCTGATTTTGATTGAGTTATCTTTATATCTAATTATTAAAAAAATGAGTGATGATTAGCCTGAAGCAAACAGGCTATCAGTTAAACAATTGGCTGGAAGATTTCAGTCAATGATGAAAGCTGCACCTGTTTAGTAACAACAATAACCTCCTCCTAGAAAATCTGAAGTTATTGCTAGAAATCCATAGCAGTAATTGTAAAACATGGAAGAAACGAATAAAGTTCTTAGCAAACTTGAAGTTGTTGAAAATGACGAAGATTCCAATCAAAGGTCTAGTGAAACAGTTGAATCATTGCAAAAGGTTATCGAGAATCTTTAAAAAGATTGCAACAAAAAGGATTAGAAGATTCAGGACTTGTAAGAAAATTTAGTCATCATGTCTGATTAAATGAAATTTAGGGAATCAAAGATTCGAGAAGAGGTCTAATAGGAAACAAAAGAAACGAGTGAGTTTGGAAACGAAAGAGTGAAATTAATTACTGAATTGCGCAAGTGTTAAGTAGATCTATAAGAATCGTAAAAACAAAATGCTAATAAGTTCTCTCAAATTTAATAGTTGACAAATAAAGCAACTCAGATATAGAATTTGTCAAAACTAGAGATTGATAAATTAAAGTAGTAGAATCAAGAATTAGAGGAAAAACTCTTATAAAGCTAATAAAAAGTTGATTAATTAGCTCAAAAAATTGAAGAATTAAAAGAATTAAATAGCTAATTGAATCTCTAAAGTTAAGAGGTTGAAGATGTCAAATAAAAATTAGAAAAGGAATTTTAGTAGAGATATGATGAAGTCGAATTCGAAATTATCAATAATAGATAAATTATTGAGGATCTTTAAATTTAATTAAAGGAACTTAAGGCACTAAATTTATAATTAGAATCTGCTGCGATTAATGGAACATTTGATATGAAATAGCAAATTAGTTTATTGTAGGATTAAACAAATGAGTTGTAAAACTAAAACCAAGAATTATAATAAAAACTTCATGCTAAATAAATTGAATTTGATCAAATGAATAAAGCCAAATCTAGAGAAATTGAAAAGCTTAAACAAGATAAAATTGAATTGCAGTAAGAATTAGAATAAACAAAACAAATATCTGAATAAACTTAGGCTGAAACTGAATCTAACTATAAAAATCAAATGTTAATTTTGTAAGATAAATTTCAGAAAAGCGAGGAATAAACATCAAAATTAAATTAAAAAATCTAAGAATTATCTGCTGATCTCATTTAAGAAAGAATGCTCTACAAAAATAATGAATCATAGTTAAATGGAGTCATAACATAATAGAAAGATGAGCTATCCTAAAAATCAAGCCTGGTATTATAATTGACTGAAAAAATCAGGATATTGTAAGATCACTCTATGTAATAAGAGACAAACATATCAAAAAATATTGATGACTATAAAGTTTTACTTGACTAAAATAATCAATAAATCACACAATTATCTGAATAAATAAAGTCGTTGAAGAAACAATAAAGATAATAGGAATAAGAAAATAAGTAGGTAATTTCTTAATATGAATAATAAATTAAGCAATATTTGGCTGAAATTACATAAACCAAAATCCAAAAGAATGAATCAGACAACTAAAGACAAAATAGTGAGAGTTAATTAAGCTAGATTATTGAGAAATAGAAGGTCTAATTGCAATAAGCAAATGCAATTATTTAAGATTTGAATAACCAGATTGAATAATTCTAATAAAACATTTAAGATTAAGAAGAACAGAGAATGAGTGTGATATCAGTGAAATAGTCCTTGTTAATTGAGAAAGAAAGTCAAATTAATATGCTTGAATCATAAGTTATAAAATATTAAAATGAATTAACTCAAAAATAAGACTAAATCATAATATTGCAATAATAATATGAGAAATAAAAATCAGACTTTAATTTAGCAATTTCTGAAAAGGAGAAAAATGCAAAGTTAACAAATTAATAACATTAAGAGTTATAGAATAAAGTTTCTGATTTGACTTTTGAGGTTAATTAGTTACGATCATTAGTTGATAAGGCAGAGGTGGACAAGGAATCAAATATCCAATAGTATAATGAGGCAAATCAATAATTAAAAGATTAATTAAACACATAAAATAGTTTGATTTAAGAATTGCAAGAGTATCTAAAGGAAAGTAATTCTAAAGAATAATTAGCCTTACAGAAGTCAACTCAATAGAGCTTAGAAATCAATTAATTATAATTGGAGATTGGAAAACTGAAAAATGATTTATCTTAACAAGAATAAAAACAATCCTAAACTAATTTAGAGAATTCATATAAGTTGAAAGAATAATAGACCTAAAATGAAACTTTGAAGAATGACTTTAAGTAAATATAATTAGTTTAAGACAAATTAAAATAAGAAAATTTTTAGTTGAACGAATAAATAAATGATTTGCAAATAAAACTGTAAGAGAGTCAAGAAAACCTAAAATAGACCACATAAATAAATGAGAATTAAAAAGAATAGCTTTAAAAGTTAAATGATTAATTATATTAAGAATAGCAGAAGGAATCTGTAAATTAAACAGAGAAATTTTATTTATAATAATTAATCTAATAGCATAAAGATTAAGTTAACGAAGTTCATGAAAAGAATAAGTTAATAACTAGCATTAGTGAGTCAAAAGATAAGTAAATAGAAGCACTTAAAAAATAAGGAGAAGATGCTCAAAAACAT